ACGACCCGAAAAGGGAAGGCGTTCTGAGACCGTAGATTCCGAGAACCTCACTGGCAAAAGGTGGGGACTGCCGCGCCTGGCCTCCTGGGCCCACATACGCCCCCAGGAGGCCTAGGGGGCAAGGATGGCCTACTTGAGGCCTGGCCAAACAAGAACTTTCGAGAGCGCTCATCTGCTGAGCGCTGGAACTGGCAGGCACATGCTGCGACGGATAGGCCACGCTGCGCCGCCTCCCCCGCCCCGCCAGGGGCGGGGGGAGGAGGGTGAAGGGCCTGATCGGCCTTGGCTCGCACATCGTCAGAAGTAGGTGGGGCTCCATTACCACCTGTCGGCTGCGGCTCAGCAGCAGCGGGCGTGGGCCCTGCCGCTGCACCTGAGGGCTCAGCAGCCCCCTGTCCTTCAGCACGGGCTCCTTCAGCTGGTGCTGGATCCCGAACAGGGACTGGTACCTCTTCCCCTCCTGCAACAGCTCCGCGATCCGTGCGCCGACGCTTGGCCGCGATCCGAGTGAGATGTCCCCGATGTGCGTCCCGAGCCGCCTTGGCGGCTGCCACCAGTGAGCCCCGCAGGTCCTTGGCGAGCTTGGATACACCAGTGTTCAGATCGTCCTTCCGCTTGACGATCTCGTCGCGGTCCTTGGGGTCGAGCTGGTCGTCACCCTCGAAAAAGCTGACTTCATCGATGGTAGGGAATGCACCCAGGTCGAAGGACTCGTCGCACAGGTCTTCAAGCTTGAGTCTGGAAGGGCCTGTTGGAGCACCAGGAGGCTGCCCCACTGATGCCTGCTGCTGCAGCTCAGTGACCAACGACTTGCAGAGCGCATCTGCCTCCTCCAACTCGGCCCGCATGTCCCGCAGGACCAGGGTGCCGCTTCGCCAGCCCAAGAGCTTGTCAGCTTCTTTGTCGGGCGCTTTCTCCAACCGACTGACCACCGCATACTGCTGCTGCACTCGTTGGTGAAGCGGCGTGGGCCGCTTGGGCACCTCCAGGGCCACCAGCCGCTTGTGCTCTGCCAGTCGTGGACAGGTCGCCTCCTTTCCGAGCCGGTTCGGCGAGCTGCGTGGCCTCGGTCGAGCTGAGCTGGCTTTGGGCGCCAACTGGCAGTGGAGCAGCTTTGAGCGCCCCTCCAGCATGGGCACCCCCACACTGTGGTCCTCCAGCTGGTTGAGCAGCGGGATTGGCGGGCATGCTGTGGGGCGACGGTGCCTGCGTTGTCCATGGCGCTCGCTGTCCGAAAACCCTTGGTGGTGGCTGGGCCCAAGCACCACTCTGAGGTAAACCGCCGTCAGTAGGACGAACGAGCACAAGCGATGTGCCGCAGTGCTTGCAGAAACGTGCCGACTTCTGGTTCTTCGCGCAGCCGCAGCAGCTGCACTTGACCTTCGATATGCCGTCTCCGCCTGAGCCAGTAGCATCGTGCCACCAGTCTGAATATGTATGAGCGCCGCCGCGGTGCCAGGGGGGCGGGGCTGTGCCACGATCCTCTCGACCGTACCATTGGCCACGTCCTTGTCCTTTGCCACCGCCGTGGCGCTGAGTGGAAGGCTGGGGTGCCATGCACCCACTGATCGCTGAAAGAAACCTACGCCGAGCCAAAGACCCGTTGACGCAGTGCCGCTCTGAAGTTGGCGTCAACAAGCACAAAAAATTGTGCCAGAACGGCTGGAGGCGGAGGAGGAGGAGGAAGAGGAGGAGGAGGAGGAGGAGGAGGAAGCGAGACGGAGGAGGAAGAGACACGAGGAGAGGAGGGGGAGGAGGGGGAGGGCAAGACGGAGCCAGGACGAGGCTACGCTCTGCGCGTGGCCGCGCGCCCTGAAAACCGCACGTCGCGCCGGGCTGTCGTCATGGAGGCGGGGCCCTCGGGGAGCCGCGGGCAGCCTCGGGTCGGCCAGCGGCGGCCGGCGGCGGCCGGCGGCGGCGGGCGGCGGCGGGGAGGGGGCCCGGACCGCCGACGTCATGATTTCCGCATGATGCCACCCACGTCATGATTTCCGCATGATGCCACCCCCAAGAGGTTCTCCGCATGGGGCCGGAGGGGGGCCGCCGAAGGCGGCCCCCCCCCCAAAAAAAAAACACACACACACCAAAGCCGCCCCCCCCACCCCCCACCCCCCCAAAAAAAACACCACAAAAAAAAACCTTCAGAATCCTACTGAAAAAATGCAGCCTTCCTGCCCGCGCGGCGCAGCGCGCGAGCAGGGCAGCCTGGAGGTGCCAGCATTGGCGGGGCTGCGGGAGAGGAGCCGGGAGGGCGGGGTAATCCAGCAGGAGGGGCCGGCAGCCGAGCCAGCGGGGCTGGAAGGTCGGGGTGGAGAGGAAGGAGGGAGGGCATAAGGCGGGCGAGGAGGAGGAGGAGGAGGAGAAAGAGGAAGAGGAAGAAGAAGAAGAAGAAGAAGAAAACTCGGCCTTGCGTGTGGTCTCCGTCTGACCTGCAGCTAGCGTCAAGCCGTCGACTTGGCTCAAAGCTAACTCTCACAGTCATCTCGCGCGTTCACGATCCAAGGTGGGGGTAGCACGCACCGTGCAGCCTCTCATAACGATTGTACGGAGACAGTCGCAATCGCATCTCACTCAGGAGGAGGAGGAGGAGGAGGAGGAGGAGGAGGAGGAGGAGAAAAAGAAGGAGGTCAGGTCAGGTCAGGTCGTCAGGTCAGGTCAGGTCAGGCAGTCCGCGAGCGCTCCTCGGTGAGGAGACAACTGGGGTGGGTGAAACAGTGACTCGGCGGCGAGCGAGGGGGAGGGAGTGAGAAGGAGAAGGCCTTCTCAGAAGGTTCGGAAGTCCACCGGCCTTCTGAGAAGTGTTTAAAGCATTCCCCGAAGACACAACAAAACGTATCAGAAGGCGCGAGGGCTTCGCCGCCTGCTGAGAAGACCTTCTCTTTTTCACTTCCCCCCCTCGCTCGCCGCCGAGTGATAACTCCAGCCAAAAGCCCCAAAACAGAGCTAACTGAAAGACGGACCATGACGGCCCAGTAGAACAGGAGGGCACCACGCCCAGGGTTGTAATTGGCTGATGAGGGGAGATATGGGCCTTCCTGGAACAAAAGAAAAGTTGGGCCTTGGGCTCGGGCGGCGAAAAAGTTAGAAGCTCGAGTTCGGAAACCAAGGAACGCAAGAGTTCGAAACAAGTTCGAAAGTTCAGGGATAATCCAACAAGAAGTTCGGAAAATGTTCGAAAAAAAGCAAAGAAAATAAACAAAAAAATATCAACAACAACAAAAGCATAAGTTCGGAAAATGTTCGAAACCAATTCGGGAATCCCACCAGTCCTGGGCGTCGGTGGTTTAGAGAGTTTCCTCTTCCACTCCTCCTTCTTCCCCGTCGGGGAGGGGTTTACCCCTCCCCCTGCCCCCTCCCCATGGACCTGGAGGGGGGGGTCGCGAGTCGTCAGGGCGTCCAAAACGGCCTCGGCGAGGAAGCCAAAATCATTGATTTTCCGATGGTGTTGGCCCCATTTTGGCCTTCTGAGGGGGGGGCTCTAATCCGTGACCCCCTTCTTTGATCGATCTCCTCCGAGATGGCCCCAAGAGCGCTCCCAAGGCTCCCAAGGGTGCCCCAAGAGGGCCCCAAGAGGTGGCCAGGAAGCCCCAAGAGGCCCCCAGGAGGCCCCCAGTATGCCCCCAAGAGGCTCCCAAGAGACCTCCAAGAGACCTCCAAGAGGCCCCAAGAGGCCCCCAGAGGCACCCAAGACGCTCCAAGAGGCCTCGGCGACAATGCCAAAATCGCTGATGTTACGAAGGTTTTGGCCACATGTTGGCCTCCGGGGGGGGGGGGGGGGCACTGCTTCAGATGACTCCAAGAGCGCCTGGGAGAGCCAAAGATGATCTCCAAGATGGCTCAAGGTATCTCAAGATGCCTCAAGATGGTGCCCACGATGCTCCAAGAGGCCTCAAGACCGCTCCAAGACGGCTCCAAGTGGCCAAAGAGCTCCCCCAGGAGGCCCCGAAGAGGCCAAAATCCTTCCAAACCTCAGGAACATCCATGTTTGTGGCTTTCTCGCCGAGGCCTCAAGATGGCTCCAAGATGGCCCAAGAGGGCTCCAAGAGCGCTCCCAAGGCTCCCAAGAGCGCTTCAAGAGGGCCCCAACAGACGTCCAGGAGGCCCCAGGAGGTCCCAACAGGCGCCCAAGAGGCTCCCAAGAGACCCCCAAGAAACCCCACGAAGCTCTCCGAGCCACCATAGACGCTCTAAGAGGCGTTTGGGATCGCCAAGAGGCACCCAAAACGCTCCAAGAAGCCTCCACTGGGGGACCCTTCCTCTGTGTGCTGCCCGCTTCCCTGATCGAGGCAATTCCTCTGGGCATCGTTTCTGGATGGGCTGGTGGGGATTCGCGAAGCGTCAAAAATTCACGAAAAGTTCACAAGCGCTGCGGCTACGTGGAACTTCCTCGCCGCCGAACTTTATCCAAACTTTTTCCGGACTTCAAGATTCTCGCAACTTTGAACGTGAACTTTTCAAAATCATTGACCTCTAACTTTTTGTCCGCACTTCATATTTTTAAACTAGGGGCCGTTTGCGCACCTTCAAAGCCCAGGGCCTGCCAAAGCCCCGCGTCAAGGATATGAAAACAAACAAAGCGAGATAAGTGAGCACATGAATCTCCTCCTCCTCCTCCTCGGCATCCTGGGCCCTGAACGGGATAGGAGAAACGAAGCGCGCGTGCGCGCATGTTGCGTTGAACGGCCATCAGCCTAACGATGAGCATCTTGATTTGGCCGGAGTGCAACATGCGCATGCACTCCGAAGAAGCTGAGCTCTGCTGAACTCTACCAGCTGGACTGCGAGCAGGCAAAAGTTGTATGTGCCATTCGGCAAAAAGACTCGACGTGCTCTCAGCAGAAGGTGGGGCAATGATCACGCACACGAACTCCTATTCGGATCGAACGAACGAAGGGCACACGTAGATCACAAGTCAAGGTGTCTCTGCACGTCGGCTGGCAAGGTCGACATTACAACGAAGCTTCAACATGCCCTTTTCCTCCACAATCCCTATTGGCGGCCTGGGCGTCGTCCTCCTCTTCCTCGTCATCATCATCGTCTTCGCGCCGGTTGTCCCGATCCGCTTGTACATGTGCCTTCTTTAACTTCTTCTTTTCTCGCTTTTGCCTTATGAAAGAATGCAGCGGCACGGCAAGGCAGTCCGACCCAAGCGCAAGGAAAATCAACCACGCACTTCCCCTCAAGAACCTCTCTTTTCCCTTTGCGTCGCAACGCAGCGCGGAGAAGCGATCAGATCACCCAGCAGGGCGTGGGGGGAGACAGACCGAGGGCAGCCCAACCGGCATGAGGCCGCACATAAGCCAGCAGACTGCCTTGCAGGACAGGCGAGCAGTGGAATGAGCGGCGCGCCTCTGCTCTTCCGCCTCCCTCTCCGCAGCTTTGGCCTTTTTTCTCTTCTGCATCTCCAGGAAGGCCAGGATGGCCCTCTCGGCGGACATGCCCTCGGTCGAATCCCCGCCGGGCTGCTCCTGGAGATCGCGGGGGAAGGAACTAGTTCGGATGACAAAAGTGCTCCCGACGCCTACCTACTGGCTCCTCACGCCCTCCTTCTCATCATTAATAATACAACGCTTGTCATTCTCGTCATCCAAGTTACCACCCTCCTCCTCGCGTCCATCTTCACTTGCCCCTTCTGTTTCTCCTTTTTGCAACTCGCCCTCCTTCTGCTCAGTCGCCGTACTACTCATTCCCTGCTCATCTGTCCTCCTCACTCGTCGCCGTCCTCCTTCTCCTACTCCTCCTGGTGCTCCTCCTCCTCCTCCTCCTCGTCCTCCTCGCATCCCCATCCTCATTCATCCCCCTCCACGTCATAATCTCCACCATCACCATCAACATCACTGTCATAGCCATCACCGTCATCATCATCACCATCATCATTAACATCACAATCGCAGTCACAATCGCGATCATCATCATCAGCAGCAGCATCATCAGCATCATCATCAGCATCAGCAGCATCATCGTTATCATCATCAGCAATGCAATCACCATGAACAGAATCCTCATCGCCATCCTCGTCCACATCCGCATCCTCATCATTATCATTGTCACAGCCAGTGTCATGATAGTCACCATGATCCCCCTCCTCGTCCTCACCGACATCATAATCAGCATCATCATCATCACCAGCAGCAGCAGCAGCATCATCAACATCATCAGCAGCATCCTCATCATCAGCGTTCATCATAATCATCTTCCGCCTCCTCATGACCATCATCATCATCTGCTCGAAACAGGCGCCAAAAACAGCCAAGGTCTACTCCATGGGGGGAAGGGGAAAGGGGGCGAGGGTCCGCGCCGATCAGCAAAACAATGGATAAGAAAACGATCACTACCCGCCTCACGCGGAACGTTTGCTTGGCGTTTTTGGGCGGTCGCCCGGCGACGCGCTTCGCCCTGCATGCGGATGTAACGCGTCGCTCTGCTTATGGCGGTGCGAGAGGCCAGCAAAAAGTCTCGGGAAGCTGACGCTAGGAATCGGGAAGCACTTAGCCGAAGCGTGTTGGGCCCGAGCGAGCGGCGCGACACGCTCAGCAAACATACCCGACCGTACAGTGGAGGCCAGTCCACAAGAAACCTTCCTCAAGAAACCCAACCCTGAGACCCCAGGACGTCCATTGATTTTCCACCGCGCTTTCCACACCACAGCCATCGAAACCCAGGAAACCCAGGGCACCCTGGAGGCAAGCCGGGTGTTTCCTGGCACGGGTTTCCTCTGTAGCGTGTCGCGCCGAAGCGTGGTGGGCCAAAGCCCCGAAGGGGATCGGCGCATACTTCCCGAAAGCGATGCTCCAGGCCTGGCGAAGGGGGGCCCCGAGGAGGCCAGCTGCCGGGCTGGCCGCGGCGGCAGCGTGGCCCAGGCGGGCCAGCTCCAGGCGGCGGCGGGGCCAGCGGCGGCGGGCGCGACACGCTAAGCAAGCGATCCCGACCGTAGGTGCACTCTCGCGACGAGGAGGGGGAGGAGGAGGAGGAGGAGGAGGAGGAGGAGGAGGAGGCGGAGGAGGAGGAGGAGGAGGAGAAGGAAAAAAAAAAAAGGGGGAGGAGGATTCCAGCGATTCCAGCATTCGGGGGACTCACGAGTGCAAGCTCGGGCCCACGGATCAAAACAGTCAAGGAGCGGGGAAGGCCATGCCGTACTTGGGGGGCTTGCCTTCAGCCAGCCGCTCAAGATTGCGCCTGCCAGTGGCGGACAGCAAATGTGTGCCTGTCTCCAGAGACGCGGGTGGACAAGGCTTGGCCAACTTCTGAACAGTGTTGGCAGCATAGTACCCGCAGCAACGACAGTACAATATTCCTTTGAATTCAGCCAGGACGTGCGTCGGGTGCGCACGCGGGAAACATGGATGTCCGTTCGGGTTGCCCTGGGACGTGGGGCCAGGGGAGGTCGAAGGGTCCAACCTGCCAGACGACGAGGACCCCAACACCAGCGCACCAGGACACTGACCAGGCCAGAATTTGGCCAGCTCCCCTCGGACAGCAGGAAATCTACAGAGACACCGAGAGCACTTAAAGGATCCAGCTACTTTACACACATCATGGCCCTGCTCACGCAATCTCGCTCTGCGGAGGTTGCTCGAACAGGGTCCTCGCTCTTTGTGGTGCTCCCTACCTAGACGATCCTCGCGAGTCCTCGGGCACATGAGCGAAACGTGCCTGGAGACAGCGAGGAGTCGTTTAACAACACGTAAACAATTTTCATCTACATTAGAAATTTCCCTGACCTTCTCAGCAGGGAGGGCCCCCCACTTGGCAGCTTCCCCCGCAAAGTGATCGGCAACGCCATTGGCGACTAATCCCTGGGGGGTCAGGCGGTGGGCGGAAACCTGCTTGAAGGTGGGGTGGCTCTTGCACCAGTGGACCTCCAGCTGGCCATCTCTGTCGCCAAGCTGGTCCCAGACCTGCTGCCACAGGTCCAGCATGCACGAGTGATCAACTTCAACGTCCTTCCGAGCAAACGCGCGTGCAATCGGCAGAAAGTCGGTGTACAGCACCGTGTCACCGACAACTAATCGCAACAGCTGGAGCACGGCATAAAGTTCCGCACGGGGAGAGCTTTGCTCAACACCAGGAAGGGTTCCACACAACACGCCAGCCACCTGGAGGGTCCCTGGTTGAAGGTGAACAACAGACCACCCGCATCTCCTCAACCTCCAATCCTTCGTATGTTCTCCTCCAGAAGCGTCGCTCCCGAATATCCCCCCATGAATCGGAACACCTTCACGAAGCGCCTCATGAAAAGATCCCCAGGCCCAAACTTTAGTTTCCACGGGAGGCAACACTCCAACCGTCCAGCCTAGGGGAACCAGACCACGAGTCCAGAAACACTCCGATTCAGGCACTCCAGCGAGGGAATCTTGATACATATGGTTAGTGAGGTGTATGTGGTCATCATCAATGTTCGCATTATCTTGACAGCCCCAGTATCTGTGCCAAGGTGTTTCCTGGCGAACTCCACAACGAGGGCATGCACCATTGCTGAGATAGCCGCTGTCCTTGAGGCGCTGCTCTGGCCACTGGCCGCCAGAGGCGAGGTGATTCAAAATAGCAACACCGTCGAAATCGCCTTGCCGAGAGAGCGATCTCCGCAGCTTACGCAGCACAGTAAAATCAACACCTTCATGCAGACCCTGTCCCCCGTAAGCCTCAGAGGCTTGGACCCAAAGCATACTGCCCACTTGTTTTTCAACCGTCTTCCACAAAAAAATACGGAAAATCACGTCGACCAACACGGAGGGTGACACCAGGGAATCTCCACGTACAGGGCTCCAGAGGGTTCCCATTGAGCTCCAAGATACGCATGATGACAGACGCGATTGGGGCCCCGTACATGACGCCAACGGTGAACAGGTGGAACACTTCGCAGCTTATCTAACAATTTGGGCCATACTTTGTTCACGCTACAGACCTGGCTAGGGTCGAGGGCACGGTAAGTTCGGCTCCATTCCAAAAGATGCTCATAGCGAATCTTATACGCTGGGTCGTCAGACATAGCATGATCAAGAGCAAGGAGGGTAGTGGTACAACAGCCAGCATGCCATCGTCCTGTCGCTTTAGCTGCCTGGGCACGCAGAGAACGCATGCGCGAGGGCGGGGTGCCAAGGACTTGATGGCTCCATGTGCCAACTGCAACCACACCTGGCTTAAACAACTTGCGAGCACGACGATTAACATGGGACAGGAACGTGAGCTTCTTACTGCGAAGCCTAGCTTCTTCCTTGCGCTGAGTCATTTTCCACATCGTCCCCCTCCTCCCAGCCGTGGTCCCAACTCCCAAGTCCTTCACAGAATCAACAACTTTAAGCGGAACGTTCAGCTCATCACAGAGAGCCTGCAAAGGGCGACCAACTTGCCGAGAGGAGGCGACGACGCACGACTTCGACGAGATCTTACACCCACGACGTTTCAATACATCACAAAGTTCTCGCGCAGCTGGCACCAGTTTGGTAATGATGTCCTGCACGGAGCCTTGGATGCACTGGGTAGGGTCGTCCACATACGCCGAAATCGGGGCTCTAGGGACACGACAATGTGCCGCCTCCAAGATGTCATAGAGATAACATTTGATCCATGGCAGGGACTGGGAACATCCAGCTAAGATGGACTGGCCTGCCTGCATAACACCCGACACCAGGGACTGGACCTCGAGGAGCCTGGGGGAGGTGTGGATCAGGAGGCCCAGGTAGAGGAGCAAGGAGGAGCAGTCGACAGCCTGAGCCAAGCCGATGAGCTTACTTGGGTCGATGGTGTCAAAAAACTTCTCCATATCCCAGTGGCCAGAAACAGAAAAAAAAACCCTCCACCCGAGCACACTCGTGCAAAACTTCACGGAGCATGGCGGCACGCAAGGCCGACGATTTCTTCACAGCCGCATCCCAGAAGGCGACGTGGGAATCGGTCCAGTCCTGGATTTTGTCCCCGCGGATTCGGGTATACAGTCGGTAGAGGGTGGGGCACTTAGTGATGGGTCTTTCAGACGTCGACGTTTTGGGCAGGAGGGTGACCAGACAAAGATAGACCTGCTGGGGGAACTCAAGGGCATACTCGATGCCATTAAAAATGGTGGCCAAGTGATCCAGGGCTTCACCAGGAAGCCGCATCAAATCACGAGGGGACCACCCGTCCACGCCGAGGGCCGCGTCGGCCGAGAAGCACTTGCAAGCCGAGAGCACGTCCTGGCCCTCGATGCCGCGAGCCTCAAGCGCCTCAAGCTCAGCGACAGGTCTGAGGCGCTGCATAGCGTACTCAAGATCACCGACTTGCCTACTCGTCGGCGTCCACCAGGATGCCCAAAACTGCTCGCGATATCTCATCAGCTCTTGGGGGGTTTGGGCAACGAAAGTGGGAGTAACAAACATCTCAACCTCCTTTTTGGCATCAGAACGTAACCAACGGTGCACCACTTTCGCTCCCCCCGCGAGTCCTTTAGCGAGCCAGGCCTGGATACCGAGGCGATTAGCTTTCCGAGCCGCAGTCCACGCACGACGAAGGACGGGGACGAGAGCTCCTTGGATGATTTCAAGCTTCCGAGGGTCGCCTGGGATGTCTTGCAACCACCCTGTCCATACAGCAGCTTGCCGTGCATCGGCAAGGCCTTCAAGGTGTAGACCCACCTCATCACCGCGCGCTCGGAGGAGAGTCCTGAGAGCGGTGACCTGGGTGGTGCCTCCTCTCTTCAAGGCGACAGCAAAATCGTACAGGCGGGACGATATCAGCGTCCAAAAAGCCAGGCAGGGGTGGGAAAAACCTTGTTTCATCACTCCTCGTTTGGGAAGGGTCCGCTCCTGCACAACTACTGCTCTGCCCCTGCGCCCTCCCGGCGACGGCCAGGTAGAGAGGGGGCGGGAGCAAAACAGCATTTCCGCAGCAGTGGACCACTTTTGATAGGATTCCGAGAGTCCTTGCGAGTGTAGGGGCCAGTGAAACTCGAGAAAAGCTCTACGGACTTCGCGAGGTATCTCCACAACTTGGTCACCAGCACGGTGGACAAAATCACTCCAACGCTGATCAGGCCCAGGGTGGGCCCCGATTGGGACAGGTCGATCTCGTTTCATCACGGTGTCACGGAGCACCTCGAGAGACATCTGCACATGCAAGCAGGCGCGTGTCTTAAAAGCGGAGCCCCAATCCGCATCAATCGCCAGGTATGGGCGGATGTCCCGCGAAACGACAGCGTAATCGATCAGGCGGCCATTGCCTTTGTCACAGGTAAAGTCAGTATTGCGGGGGTCCACCGTGACGCCAGAGACAACCTCACAGAATCCACACTGGTGCAACTCGAGGGGCTCCATGTTGAAATCTCCCAAGAGGATCCACGGGCACTCAAGCATCCCCAGGAACTCAACC